ATGGACCGCTCTTACCTACTGTCGCTGACGTGATGTAGGGCTGCCATCTTGGAGTGGTCGCCCATTCCACTCAGCGTTGTACGTTTGAGGCACATTTAAGTGTCATTGCATTTTATTAATTAGAAATTGCTAAATCCTAAACAGAATTTCACGCTTTTTTACTAGAAACCTTATTCAAACAACTATCAAAGCTACAGTTATGAGGAAATTAATCTTTTAAAAGTATTTTTAAATTGGATTAATACATGGGTCTGCATATTTAAATTAGTGGGGACTACTGATGTTAAGGCTGTTGGTCGGTCGTCATTCAGGCCTGTCACTGTGTAGCGCTTGGAGACAGGGACAAAAGTGGTGGTCTTTACGCTGGAGAGGACAGGTGCCAGTAACAGTGAGGTGTCGAAGATGTCTCAGACAGCTGACGTGCACAGTCCCTCAGAATCCGCCCTGGGATATTATTGGGACCAGCAGCCTTAAGGGGTTGATTTCCTGGAGGGATTTCTTCACATCTGCTGTGGTCACACAGAGAGGCGTGTCACCAGGAAGTGGTGCTGAGGGAGGTGTTAGGATGCTCAAAGCGGAAGTAGAGCTTAAGTGCATCTGGCAGTGAGGGGGTTAAGAACTCTTATTGTTGTTGTATCTCTCCATGACCTTGCAGAGGTCATGGAGAGATAGGGTGCGCCCCCTTACTTCTCCAGAAAGCAGAACTGTCCACTGACTAGGCGGGGTTTATAGCCATTTTGTATTTGAAGCAACTCATAGTTATCAACAGTTGAGAGCAGTGACCAGACACTCAAGTATATAACTGATATGAAAGCAATACGATAGTATTTTTTCATTTTTATGTATTTATTTTTTTTGCTTACATAACATCATCGTCTAAAACAATGAATAAGTTAAATGATTAACATGATAGTCAGTGGTTATGACTTACGGAACTCAAATCCCACTAACAAGTTGGTCTCGACGTTACATCTCCGGCAAAAACTCGTTTTCCTCAGGAAAACTCCTCTTTCATATTTTGGTCATCACTTATTCGTAGGTCGTCCGGCGGCTAACTGTTATGAAACGCACCCAGTTGCTGTAACTCTCGTCTTCTTATTGGTTAGCCCGGCTGTTTACAGGTGTGTCACTCTTTCAAAGTAACCAATCCGAAAACGGGAACCGGCTTCATATTAACGGAAAACTCTATAAGTGTAAGAGTTTGCGTTTTCGTTAATATTTCTCTACACTTTTTCACAATAGGCGTAAAGCTTAGCGATAAATATCCATAGGTTTGTTTTAATATGCAGTCATTTTGGCTTGAAGAAAGGTGGCTTGCTGAAGCTGTCTTTGTTTGTTCAGACGGGAACGCGCCTGCGTGCCCACGCCCTTTATTACAGGTGCTTTCGATGACCTCATCCCCCAGGAGGAAGGACAGACTTCAGGTGAGGTCGAGTCTTATTGTGAATCCCGTGGGTGTCCTGACTGTTCGTGTAGTATTTTGTAGTTGTGATAAATTCCACCGAGGAGAAGTAAAAACGGCTTTTCATATAAAACTTTAGAAGAGAAAAGAAGCTAGTTTTGTGTGCAACGAAGCGCTTTTTATTTATGCCAAAACATTAAAGTGGCGTAATAAATTCACACTCGCTTTTTTTTTACTCGCAGCAAACGGATACTATGAGCAATTCGACAGAGAGAGGAGCCGAAATGGAGGATTTTTTTAAAACGGTAAGTTTGCACGTAAAACTGCTTTAGTCACAACATCTTTGAAACCAGAAGCTTTGGCCACATTCTGGTTGCAGTCATTGTTTGTCATTTGTTAGTCTTAGCAACAGATGCTTCTTAAAGCATATGATTAAAGTTACATTTTACAACAGTAAAACTTAAATGGGCTGCATGGTTGCCTCGCAGCAAAAGCTCCTGGGTTTGAATGTTGGGCAGTGATAATTTTGGATGACTTTTGCATGGTTCTTTCTGGTCACTCTGTAGCTCCCACACAAAAACATGGCAATGGTTTACTTTGCCATGTTGCCAAAGTTTACTACTTATATTCATTTGCACATTATATTGTTAAGTATTAGGAGACCACAGGCTACCTACTTTCTGCTTGATAAAAAATCTAATTGATTGGGTGCAATGAAGCCTCAAATGTGTTAAACTATTCCTTTTGCAGCTTAAATATGTCATAATTTTATATATAATTTTCTTTAACCAGGTCAATAATGCCAGCTGATCTACTTTAAGTTCCTAATGTGAAGTGATGGACCACAATATACACAGAACAAATTTTAGCATTTTGTTTTCTTTTACTGTCACAGATTCAATGTAGTTTACCAAGAATTAACACTTGCAAAAAGAAATGAGGGAATGCAAGTTTGTATATGTTTAACATCATTCACATAAACAGTAATTTAAAGTTCTCTACAGAAAATACAAAGAACAGAGATGAAAACATTGGTGTTTTTTGTTTTGTTTTGTTTTGTTTTTAGGCTTGTTCTGACATTTCAATGACTAATGTTGGTGGGATTTTTGTGTGTAGGTGTGTGAGGTAAGAAACCTCATAGAAAAAATCTCCAGCCAAACAGAGGACATGGAAAAAAGACACTGCAGCATCCTTTCCTCTTCGGACAGTGGCAAAGGTAAGACTTTCTGGAATATTTAGTGAAACCTTTAAATTGTGTAGCGACTTGATGTTCTGTTAAGCTCCCTAAAGATACACACACACACACACACACACACACACACAAAAAGAGCAACAGAAATATGAGAAGCTTAACAGAGCTTTAGTTGTTTACAGAAGGGGCACAGAAACCAATATAGCAATGACCTGTAAGCATATCTGTGCTATTTAGAGGTGAAAAAGATTATGTAGCCATGCTTACAGAATTTAAGATGTGAACAACCAGTGTTTTGGGATGTTTCGATATATTTTCCTTGCATTGGCTAGATTTAGCTTAAATACACTGTTTTACGCAAAATTACTGATAACTACAGTTCTACCATATAGAGAAATGTAGCCTAAGCTTTTTAGATTGGTTTAGACACAGAAAAAAAAAAAAAGAGTTCCTCCTCTTATCAAGTAAATTTGTTCAGTCTGTCTGTTTTGTGTGTTTTTTTAGGAAGTAAAGATGAACTGGAGCTGATAAACAACGAGACCAGACACAACGCCAACCTGGTCCGAACCAAGTTAAAATGTAGGTGTTACAAAATGGAGTCGAAATTGCTGGAACCCATGGAATATTTGTGTACATTTTTAATATTTCCCTTTGGTCAGTCATTTGAAATAAATGTAGCTTTGCCAAACGGCAAACTTGCTTAAATACTTGGAGTGAAGTCAGAATGGTATAATTTGACTGGCAAATGAATAGGAGAGGAAATAAAGTGCGTCACTGTCCACTACAGCTCATCGTCATTCAATCATTATTAAAAGCTCTCAGAATATTTTTGCTTTGCTATGTAAATTGTGAAGAGAAACCTGCAGCATATGTTAGTTCCTATCTGACGTAGCTTGTAAATACACTGGATCTGTCTTGTGTATTTCAGTAATGCAGAAGAACTGTCCATCAGAAGACAACAGAACTAATAACTCTGTAATCTATCGAATTCAGAGGAATCAGGTTTGTACCCAATACTTTAATTTTTCTCCATTTATTTGTTAAAATCAAGTCATTCCTTCTATTCTGATGTTCTGAGAAACTAGTGCCCTCTCACTAGCTTCTCAGTCTCTTTGAAAAAGAAAATTATCCACAGAATAACACCATTGTTTTCAGTGAGCATGAGGTTCTTTCATACAAAGTCATCCTTTGTTTATTGCCAAACCCACCAGAAGCATTATTTGTTTAAAAAGCTCAAACTTGGTCTCATCTGACCAAAATAAACTGTTGCTTTCAAAGTTCCTGCAGGGATTAGGAAACTCCACGTTTATGTTTGTGATGGTAGAAGAAAAATGGTTAATGAGTTCAGTGCAGCTCAGCAAACATCGGCGTCAAATGGCATTTTTTAATCTTCCACATTTTGTGGAAAAACAAATTGGTCTCTATGCCACAGTAAACAAAATAAAAATACACTATTGATTCTTTTTTTTGTGAGATTATGCTGCAACAATAATGTCACTGTGTAATTTCATAAAAAAGAGAAATGAGCAAATATAAACCTTTTATCATACCAGTTTGTGATTGTAATTGCATATGGCCTGCTTTGTGTCATAGGCTGTCACTGTACTAGTCATTGCATTGCAAATTTTAACCTTGGCTTCCAAATAAATAATTTTGCCAACTCCCTTCTGCCAGCACTCACACCTGACTCGTTGGTTTTCTGAAGTCATGAAGAGTTACCATAAGATCCAGATTTCCTTCAGAGAGAAATGCAAGGCCCAAATTCAGAGACAGCTCGAGATTGGTGAGTCACTATTGCAATAATAATTGCTTTTTATTTCCAGTTTCAATGCTTTTCTTTGACAACAAACTGAAATCAAAGTCAAATCTCTTCTTTGCGTTCAGAAACTTAGCCAATAAAGCAGATTCTGGTCTTATTCTTTACCATTTCTAGTCTGATTGTTTTATTTAGCATGTAAATAAGATGACTTGCATTTACTCAATTTCCTGCCAAGATTGTTTTGAGCATTGTTATCGTATGCATCACTAGGCTGGAAAAGGTTGATGTATTAAACCACATTCCAATAGAGTATTTGTGTATCTTTTTACCAGTTTGTTCATTGGGATAACTTTGAAGCAGTGTTATGTGTACAGGTATGTTTTAGAATAGTATTTTGCCTTATTTGTGACATTCTACAGTAAACTTCCAGTAGTGCATATCATTTTTCAGTTCTTTTACTGCAGTGATTCTGTTGCTTTGATTTTGTAATTTCAAAATGAAATAAAAAGATTCTAAGTGCCAACTTCTCATTTGTTTCTCATAGTGGATAAAGTCACAACAGATGACGAGCTGGAGGATATGCTGCAACGTGATAATCTTGCCATTTTCATAACTAATGTGGGTGAAATTCCAGATCTATTTCCAATAGAATGTTGTAGTATTTGAATAAAAAAATATAAATAATGTCCCTTTTTTCCCTCCAACAAAGATCCATTCTGATGCTCAATTATCAAGTCGGGCTCTCTCTGAGATTGAAAGACGTCATCAGAACATCATCAGCCTTGAGTACAGCATTAAAGAACTACATGAGATAATTACAGACACGGCCATGCTGTTGGAAATTCAGGTAAAATGGCTGCCCCAAAAATAAATGTTTATTGAGGACGGATTTAAATATAACTGATGAAATGACTAACATTGTGTCTTTTTTTTTTTTAATTTCCACTAGGGGGAGTTGATAAACAATATAGAAAGGAACGTCACCAGTGCCGGAGAATATGTACATGCAGGAAAAGAAGAAACACAGGAAGCACTCGGATACAAGAAGAATCGTTATAAGGTTGTGTCTCTCCCAAGTTTTTTCAAATCCTTTAGGAGACAAGCCAGTACTGAAGCTGATGATTAAAACTCTACTGAAGACTGCATCAAGCCTTCCTGATGCACATCAAACCTGTCAGAGCCTTGGAGAATTAGTTGTATCCATTTTTTTCCCCATGTAAAACTCTTTAACTGTTTTTTGTAGAACTGTAGTTTTTTTACCCAGAGTTGAGAATTCAAAGTTATGTAAAAATAACTTGTCACTTTAAATGCTTAAAAAATATTTCTTTGTCAAGAATATGATTTCAGATATGGTCCATTTCATTACATTACTTTTTATCTGTTCAACCACCCATAGATTCATTTACTCACTTGATCACTAGGTGGCACTGCAACAACATTGAAATACCAGGCTGTACCTTGTCTAAGGTTTCTTCTTATGACATTGTAAAAATGTCAACTTGTGCTCATAATGAATGCTGTGAAACAGAAGATTTTAAACTTCCTGGTCTCCTGCTGTGATCAATTAACATAAAGTGGTTTAAGTGAAATGTAAGAAATCTGCACAGTATAAAAATTGCTGTAGCAGTTGCAGTCAACTTGTAAATTAGAAATGTAGTGATCAGAGTTTTATTGGCTTATGTCTTGTTTTGCCTTTTTGTAGGTCTGATCTGCTGATTGTAAAATATTTTGTTTTTAAATTAACAATGACATGTAAATAAACTGCTTGGAAGTACAAGGAACCAAAGCTGGCATAATCAACAAAACAGGTAAATAAGTGGCTTAATAAAATAATGACAATGGAAGCAAATGGAACAAAAGTGATTGGATTAAATATTTTTGATCTATAAAAAGTCATGCAAATGTATATTTTGACATCTGATGCAATACTAGTTACTGATGTAGCTGTTTTACCTACTTAATATACCCATTAGGCTTATTATCTTCAAGTTCCTGTTATTTAAACATCATTTATCCATATTGCTGCTTCACTTTTTTCTTTTTTTGTTTTGTTGTTTAATGCAGAAACTGGAGAGGTAATGTTCACTTATGATGTATTTAATAAACAAGAAAAAAACATCTGATTTTTTTTAGTGTGGCTTCCAGTTTCTAATCACAGGCTGCTCAGTTGGTAAATCACCTAGGAACTGGATGGCATGAAAAAAGTGTCTCCAAACAGTGTATGCATCGTGTACCTGGAGTCACTTCAGTAAACACACTTTGATATTGTGACCTTTGTGAAAGTGCAGTCTCAGATAGCATTGGATTTAATTTGATGCTCCACTGGGAATAAAGTGGGACTAGTGTGGCTGTAAATGCATCTTTTTATGGTTGAAATTATTTTACTCATGCCTTAAGGTAAATGAACTGTTAACGCTGTAACACTTCTAATAGTCCACATTAAGTACCACATGGTCTTTAATGCTTATTAACAAATATAAAAAGTGAGAATTTACATCAAGGCTTCACTTGACTTTTATCCTCACGACTGATTCTTATTTGTGATGTTGTAGGACAATCGCATTAGGCATAGAATACTTATAGGTTAATAATTGAATGACATTTGTGTAATTTGCTGCTGCACTTGCTAAATCTGCAGGCTATTGGAGTGATAACAGGAGTGATGCCATATCTATGTTTAATGCATTATTTCCCACATGATCCATATGTCTTAAAAGCTATTGACTGGCTGTTACTTGTGTGATTTGTAGTTACTTAAAACCATTTTGTTATCGCATTTTTCTCTGATCTGATTAGAGTTGAAAACAAACAAGCCTGCATTGTGGGAATACTGCCAAGATGAACCCATTGACTTTTCTCTCAGACTGCATTTCACATCCAACCCCTCCCCCCCATCCGCTTGTGCTACCTCAGGATAAAATTTCACAGCACCTTTGTGCTTTGCTGAAACCACTGACTTCCAAATTGCTATGGAAAAGTGTGGGTGTATAGAAAAAAAAGATGACCGCGTATGTGGGGAGAAAAAAAGGAAAAGATGTGAGGATAAGAAAAAGGCAGACGTACAAACATGACTTATTTATTGGATGTGCCAGAGTGGTGAACCCAAAAAATAGAGCTTGACCACAATTTAAAAGGGCTGAGTGATGTGTGGCTGTGTAAAATGTGGGGGCCTGGCCCTCCTCCCAAAGAACCATTAACCATTTCCCCAATCTGGAATGAAATATGAGGAACATCTGGAAGAATTAGGGGATGAAAAGTCTCATTTTCTGCTTCCTCATGGAACCTCCATGGCCGGCTTACTTCTTGGCTTTTCCCTGGGCAGCCACAGCCTCCATGGCCTTCTTCACGGTTTCCTCATCACCGAGGAAAGACATGGGCTTGACCGGCTTCAGATCTGCATCCAGTTCGTATACGATTGGGATTCCTGTTGGCAGGTTCAGTTCCATGATGGCTGCATCAGACATATCTAGAAAAGACAACATAAACAAACCCTGAAATCAGAAGTAGGAGTATTTGAACTGGATAACAGTACTAATTGTCATTGTTCCCGACAAATTGCCCCCAGCTTTATGTTGGTTAAATGTGCACAGGAAGTCTGAAGCAGACCAATTAAACTGTATAGCACAGCCTTTGCACGTCACACTGACTTTTATGTTATGACAGACTGTTTAAATTAAAATGTATGTTTCGCACATAGTGAAAATAAAAAATACTTTACAAAAATACATTAAAATATTAGATGTTTCTTGTGAATAAAATAAGTATTTTATTAATGGCACATTCAAATGATCTGTGCTATTTTTAATGAATTAGTGACAAATTTAAGTAATTAACTATTCAGTTTTTTCACATTTATTCTGTTTTAAATTAATTACATGTTTTTATATACATATAAAAATAATCTGCCTTTCTTATTGTTTGCCTGACACTTCTTCTGTTATTCCCAGAGAATGCTAAACTCCCCTATTCATCCCTGACCACTGCTTAAAAATGTACAACCTTTCGACATAAAGGTCGTGACTGTAATGGGAACCAGACTCATGACCCTCTACCCTGCACTCCAGTGCAAGAGTCTTTGCAGGCTATTTATAAGCAGTGGAATCAAAAGCTTAGTATCTCAAGGCCTTTTCTTCTATGCAGATCTATTCATAGTTGTGTTGTTCTCTGGAATTAAATATCTGGAAACTATTTAAGAGTTTTAGATTTTAAAAACAAAAGGACTGTGCCCGCTTGCTGACTGCGAAACTCACCCTCCAGGTGCTTGACTATGCCACGGAGGCTGTTGCCGTGGGCAGCGATGATAACATTCTTCCCTGCTTTGATTTGTGGAGCAATAACCTCGTTCCAGAATGGCAAGGCACGTGCAATGGTGTCCTTCAGAGACTCGCATGTAGGCAGTTCACCAGGCTTCAGTTCTTTGTAACGCCGGGACTGGAATTAACCAAAACAGAAGCAGACTGTTGCACTTGTAAGGAGCTATATGATGGTTAAGTTTAGGCGTCTCACCTCACTGATGATTTTGTGGTAAGGGTGATCCTTATCCATAGGTGGAGGTGGGATGTCAAAAGATCGACGCCAGATCTTCACCTGCTCCTCGCCGTGCTTCTCGGCGGTCTCTGCCTTGTTCAGACCAGTGAGGCCTCCGTAGTGGCGCTCGTTCAGGCGCCAGGTGCGAATCACGGGCAGCCACATCTGGTCAGTGACCTCCATTATGGTCCACAGGGTCTGGATAGCGCGTTTCAGCACTGAGGTGTAGCACACGTCAAACTTCATGCCTGCCTCCTTAATGGCCTGGGCTCCACGCTTGGCCTCCTCCACACCCTTCTCACTGAGGTCGGCGTCAAACCATCCGCAGAAGCGGTTCTCCTGGTTCCAGGCACTCTCTCCATGGCGGACAATAACTAAGCGGTGGACAGCAGTCATATTTAATAGTTTTCCTTGGATTTTTAGCTCTAAACTAGACACAGAGCCCTCAGCCGTTCTAAGTTGCTCTTTCACACACTTACTGGCTGCCCAACAGTGATCCCAGACAACATACCGAACTCTTTTTATAGCGGACCAGCCCCCCAGCATTCCACCTGTGAGGGCATTTCACCCTCTGATGGACACACAAAGCAGGCCAATAAACCAGACAGCAACTGGGCTTATGGGAAGGCCAGAGGTCAGGGATAAACCAAAATAGCAACATGACTTTTAAAATGAGATCTGTGCAACAAAAGTGTAAAGAGCAGAGTTGGTGGCACATAGCTTCCTCATCCTAAAATGAATTGCTACAAAGCTGACAATAAAACTACTGTGAATGATTCATAGTGACTTTTACATTTCCAATCCATTTGTTTGAAAACCTTTGACCTTTTATCAATCCATACATGCATCATCCACCTGTCTTTCCATTTGTCCGCCATCTATCCATTCTGCATTCATTCATCATCGACTTGCCATGCATACATTCATTTTTTGTTTGTCATTCATCCATTTATCCATCTGTCCTTTTTCTAATATTCACCCTTCTTGATTCTTTGGTCATCATCATGTGTCCATTCATCCCTATATCTGCCCATTTGTCCATCATTCAGTTTTCATTTATCCATCCAGGTTCCACTGTCCACTTTTTTTTATCCATACATGGTACTTTTAAATCCATTGCATTTTGAAATTTATTCTTTTATATTTTTATACCATATAAGCATTAAAACTTATGATTTTCTCTCCAAGGACTAAGCAACTATCTACTACAACTTAATCCATTCATTCATCTGTAGTCCATTTGTCAATAAAGGAAATATGCAGAAATCATTATTTATAGGCTTAAAACTGTGAATGTGAAATTTTGTACAAATTCTGAGTTGTTTCAAAATCTCTAGTTTTCCAACATAAATCCATGAAATTCTTGACAAATATTTAGTCTGATTTTAATGTTGTGTCTTATTATGACCTCTAGGGGTTGATCTTGTAAAGAATAAGCAAGTGATGTTTTTTATCGGTATTATTCCTTCTTTTTTAACTTTTAGAAAAAATGAATTGCACAAAATAGTATCAGGTTTAATCAAAAAAAGTGAAAGAAAAAGAACACTTTCATTCTTTTATATAAGAAAAGTCAAACATTTGCTTTACTCTTCTATGTTCTTGTGTTGTATTGAACAAATGCAAGTGTATACAGTATTCTACAAGAACAAGTCTCAGAAGCTAAATATTCTGCATCATATAGGAAATGTAATGCCAGGAAGGAGCAATGAGAAACTCCCAGAACGGACATAATGGAGCTGGCTTGGAAACTGAACCACAAAATCCAAAAGCTGAAATATGAAGCAAAGTGTTCTGTCATCCTCCTGTGAAATTATGATACACTAGAAAGGCAGAGGTCCAAAAAAAGAATATGGAATTCTAGGATTAATGCCAACCTGCATCATGTGACCTTGAGTTGTACTGTATATAAAAAAAACTGCATTGTAAGGGAAAAAAAACTCATTTGCCTTAAATTTCTCTGGTTATATTTTTTTAACAACCATATTAAATTTCAGTAGTATTGGGAAACTGGTGACCACATTCACCCGTTTGCTAGTTACACTTTTTGTTTCAAGTTGGTATAAAACAATGTAGCCTTTTTCATGTTTTTGTTAACTATCAGTGTTTGTTAATACCTGACATTCAGTACTCATCATCTCTCTTGACCTAACAAGCCACAAGTTTGTCATTACGCCTCTAAGCATTTTCATTTGGTTGAAGGGGCGACTTAATGATCTGCTGCCTCGGTTGTGTCGCCCAGAGTTCTGTAAGCATCTTGTCTGCAACAAATCGCCTCGGTGCAGATTGCGAAGCTGCTGGTAGAGATGGAAAAAGTGGACACAAGGGAGTTTGCGTGATCACAACTGTTCCGATGACTCAGCCTGCGGAGTCACACAGCTTTCACTGTATATAGGAGCTCCGAACTGCCTTTGAGGGCTCTACTGGCCTCTGGTGCAAGGAAAAATTACACAAACAGCATTGGTTACAGATCAAAGCACGGTCAAATCCCACACACCGCACTCACATTCAAACTCTGTTCAGTGATATTGATGCAAAGCACTGCAATGAACAGCAAAGATGTATGATGCTGACTGGGTGAGATGAGTCTTCATGTGCA